GTGCATGTGACCCCTCTGCCCCCCGCACTGTGCACCTCTGTGCATGCACGTGACCATGCTGCCCGCCTCTGCGCATGCACCTTTCACGCCTCTGCACATGTGTGCGCAACCCCCGCACACCCCACCCCCTGCGCATGTGTGCGCATCTCCCTCATGCGTCTCTCACATGCATGCGCAGCAGATACCTGACAATCAGCTGGAGGCATGGGGTGGGCACGCATGTTCAGTGGCTTTTCTGGGTGACCTCTCGCATGCTGACAGAAATGGGTCTGCATGCCATCTGGCAGGCGTGCCATAGGTTCGCCATCACGGTATTATATAGTCAGCCTTTGAATATCTAGAAGATGATTGTTTCTTTGGGGGCAAAATGGACTTGCCATCAATATATACCAAGAATATAGTAAATAAAATGCAATAAAATATACCAAGAATAAAAATCATTTTTCTATCATTTGTCACCAATTTTAAGATAATTGTTCATTTTACTTTCCTAGTATAGCAAAGGAAGATTGATGATAGCTTAGTTATCTTAGAAAAATATCCCATTTCTAATTGTGAACTGTTAAATGAAACACAAATGAAAACTGTCGAAAATATAAGTTAGTAGAACAGCTACTAACAGTACCAGGATGGGATCTGAATATTTTGCATGGAAGATGAACTTGCAACTAAGAAGCAAGTTTAAAGAGATGGTTAGGACAAGCTACACTGCTTAAATAATCTAAATCCTATCTCTGTAATTAGGACATACAGTTCATGACAACACCATATTTTTGGCTATGATACTTCTTTAGTAGAAACTCAAGGTCACATCCTGTTTCTAACTTTAGAGTACAAAGAAAAGCAACAAAAATGAGTAGGGGCCTGGAGACTAAAACATATGAAGAATGGTTACAGAAACAGGGTATGTCTAGTCTAATGAAAAGAAGGACTAGGAGGGACTTGATAGCAATGTTCCAATATCTCAAGGGTTGTCACAAAGAAGAGGTCAGCCAGAGGTAGTATTCAGCAAGTTCTGACCAGTTCTGGAGAACCAGTAGTGGAAATTTTGAGTAGTTCAGAGAACCGGCAAATACCACCTCTGACTGGCCCCACATCGATCTATTTTTTGCCTCCTGAATCCCAGCTGACTGGCTGGCTCTTCTTTTCTTTTCTTTTTTTTAAACAAATTTTATTAATTTTTAAAGACAATACACAAACAAACAAAACATAGAGTATAAGAACATAAGACATCTTTTCTGAAAAACAAATAAAACATCTTATTTGAAAACAGCATAGTTCCAAATTATCACATTTCCATACAAACACAATTTGATATGCATATTTATCTTATATATTCAACTTCATATCTTTTTCCAACTTCTCTCTATTTCTCCCTTTCCTTCTATTCAATTATATTTCTTTTGCCTTAATTTCTATATCTTTTTATTCATTGTATACTTCCATCTGTCTTGTTTACAATTTCATTGTTCTCTTCCAACATTCTTCTAGAATTTTATTAATTCAAACATAGACAAACAAAACACAAAACATAAATACATAAAACTTCTTTTTGGGAAGCAGCTTAACCGTTACATCTTTTTGTACAGACATAAATCAAATTCATGCTCACCTTATATACTATTTCATATCTTAAGTAACATTCTATATTTTCTATATGTTTTCTCTCCTCTATTCACTCTATTCACTCTCTTAATTCTATTTTATTTATTTCATCTCAATTTAAATAATTATACTTGCATCTTTTGTCCGTTCTCTTTCAATTATCTATTTATCTTTTCTTTCTAATACAATATTTCTCCTGTAATCACTGGTTGAAGTATGACGCCTTTTTATCTTTCCCCTAAATTTAACACTTAAAATAATACATACTTTCCATACTGATTCTGCTTAGTACATTCTAAGTACTACATTTTAGAATAATAAAAAAGAGAAGAAAAATAAGCTTATAATATAGTAAAAACAATGTTCCATAGGAAATTAAACTCTATTGTTAAATCTTAGACATTTTTATACATTCCCTTTAATGTATTGTTAACTCATATAATATTCCAATTTTCTAACTCTATTTCAAATACTAATATCTACCATACAGTCTTATGTACTTTTGCAGAATCTTTTTTTTAATTGTGTTTTACCCTTTATCTCTAAAAAAAACCTGTTTTTTAACATCTTGTTTTAAGCCTTTATGACTTCTCTTCCCTTTTCCCTTCCTTTCTTGTCAATTCTAGCCTTTTTACCCCCCCATCTCTCAATCTCCCCTCTCTTAGTCTCCCCTCTCTGTTGTATTCCTCTTTTCTGTTGCTTTCTGACATTGTATCGATTTTTCACCTTATTTTTCCCTTTCTTGGTTGCTTTTTTAAGTTCTGAATTCTCCATTTTCTTTCCCCTCTTTCTCTTTTCTCCCTCAACTAAGATTATTTGTCCATTAAAGATGGCTTCTTCTTCTTCATCCCAACTTTCTTGTTGTTGTAATTCCTGATAGGTAGAAATCGCCATTTCTAAAAAGTGAAAAATAGATCCAGAAGAGCCCTTGCCTTCTTGTTCCTCTTCTTTTAACTTTTGGAATTCCATTTGCAATTCTTCAACAGATAATGCCATCATAAAAAAAAAAAAATTAAACAACCCAAATGTTTTTAGTCTTTCAAGAAATAGTTTCCAAGAGTCCCAAAGTCACAAAGCAGTCCAAATCAAAGCAAACTGTTTCATTTAGCACTTTCTTCTTTTTATATTTTCTCTTCCTGGGGTATAATTCAATTACACAGTTCCAAAATAATTGTTTAGAAGTCTTATTGCCATTTATTTCTGGTTTTATAAACTCCAAGCAGTCTCCTCCAGTAAAATCTTAATATAGATTCTTTACCTCTCCCTTCCCACTTATAGCAAAAAGATAATTCCAATGTTCAAAAATCTTTTATCCCCTTGGCTTTAATTTTCAAGCTTAGTTACCTTCTGTGCCAAAGCAGATTTTTCAGATTTCCATCGCTATTTCCGTAGGGAAGGAGAGTGAGAGAAAATAACTTTCCCTTTCCACTTTCTTCCGCCGCTTTTACAATCTTCTTAGGAAACAATGTATCGTTCAAGAAATTAAATTTCCAGGGTATTTAGAAGTTCCTTATTGTCCCGGTTCAGCCAAAAACTTTCACTTTCTCTGACTTCCTCCTGCACAATCTTGTCCAGCTGCAGGCTTCTTTGTGGTGGCCATTGCTGACCGACTGGCTCTTCTTTTCTTGCCCTAAGCAGGAAAACAGAGCTGGAAAGCAGGTTAGTGGAGTGGGGAGGGAATGGAGATTTTACAGTATCCTTCCCCTGCCATGCTCACCAAGCCATGCCCACAGAACCGGTAGTAAAATTTTTGAATCTCACCACTGAGGTCAACCTAGTCTCCAAAACACTTGAAAGCAGGAAAAAAGCAATGGATGGAAACTAATCAAGGAGACAACCAACCTGATAGTTAGAACAATTAATCAGTGGAACAACTTGCCTCGAGAAGTTGTGAAAGCTCCAACACTGGAAGTTTCTAAGAAGAGAAACTGGATAACCATTTGTCTGAAGTGGTGAAGGGTTTCCTGCCTAAGCAGAGGGTTGGACTAGAAGGCCTCCAAGGTCCCTTCCAACTCTGTTATTTTATATTCTATACTAAAGAATAGGTTAAATCTTACCTGAATCCCATAATCCCTCATTTTTATATGAGGTTCACTTTGCTTCAGATTTGCTCCACTATAGTTTAAAGAGTGATACTTTCTAAAGATTTTCACACCACAACCAGGAAAGTAGATACAAGAGCAGCCCATTCTTCATTTCATGAGATCTAGGCTTTGACAGTTTAACATCTCAACACAATTACTGAATAAAGTATACACTGAGAGATAGATCATCTACAGAACAGAGTTGATTTCAAGGTTGACAAACACAGACTTTCATATTATTGCAGTTAGATCATCGGGGCTTTTTTTTCTTTTTAAGTTGATTAATCATGACACAAACCCTAAAAGTTTTGTTCAAAGGTCCTTCTTCACAAGATCCTGGCTACTGCACTATGAATGTCCTTGTTTCGCAGGCTATAGATGATAGAGTTGAGCAGAGGAGTGATCACAATGTAGAAGTCTGCCATTTGTTTCTCACGATTAGGTGCTGAATCAGTCTGTGGAAGCAGATACATGCAGATGGAAGAACCACAAAAAAAGAAGACCATAAGGAGATGGGAAGCACAGGTAGGGAAAATTTTCTCTGATTTTTTTGAGGGGCAGTGAAGTAGTGAGTGGATAGAATATTTGCTTCCCTCTTTGAAATATCCAAGCTTTTTTGTTAGTTGTGTAAGCAATGTTTAGGTCCTGGTCCCTGGTAATGATACAATAGGATCAAAATGTATGTGAAGATTGTGTATGTTGTGATGTCCATAGAAGTGTGGGAAGATAGGTCCACTGTTTTTCATCCACCAGTGTTTTTCTTTACTCTCTATAGCTTTCCAGTTGTCTACCAATATAGTGGTATCTAGTTGTGTTATGTTATACTTCCACAGTTATCATTCAATGATAGCTAAATGTTGGTTCAAAATTCTAATACTTACACTTGCAATATTTCTAGATACCATTGTGCTATAGACAGATGTTCTACTGAAAATATTCAGTAATTATGGAAGACGGCAAATCTGTAGAAAGAACTGCACTGATCAATCAGACAAATACATTTTCCCAAATAAAAGTTAGATTGAGAATTGCAATACTCTTTTCTCTGTTCTCTGCATCTGTTCAGGGCATTTAGGGAGATATATACAGAAAATTTCAATACTGTTGAAGTATTGTTTAGAGTTCAAAAGAACTAGGCCTTAAGGTTTTAGCATCTCAACACAATTACTAGATGAAGACTAGAGATTAGAGAAACTTTAAAATATTTGCAGAGCAATGTTCTTAATCAGTCAATGTTTGACAACCAGTTTTTTTTAAAGAAGATAATTACCCATGACAGAATCCCTAATACTTTTCTTCAAGTGCCCTTCTTCACAAGATCTTGGCCACTGCCCTATGAAAGTCCTTGTTTCTCAGGGTGTAAATGACAGAGTTGAGTAGAGGGGTGATCAAAACATAGAAGATTGTTATTTGTTTATCACGATCAGCAGCTGAGTCAGTCTTCGGAATTATGTACACCCAAAGCAAAGGGCCATAGAACATGGAGATCACAATAAGGTGTGAGCCACATGTAGAGAAAGCCTTGCGCCATCCTCCTGATTTCATTTGTAAGACAGAATGAAGAATAAATCCATAGGAGGTCAATAAAATAGAAAGGGGAACCAAAAGGAAAAGTCCACCTATAACAAAAATAATGGCCTCAGCAATTCTGGTATCACTACATGCAAGTTTCAGCACCACTGGCATCTCACATATGAAGCTATTGATCTGATTGGGGCCACAATAGTTTTGGCAAAGAAGGCAGACAATATAAATCAAACAGACCAGAGAAGGTGTTACCCAGCATGCTGAACTGCACTGCAACTGGCAATACTTGTCCATGAGAACAGGGTAAAGTAAGGGACAGCAGATAGCCAGGTAGCGATCATAGGCCATGACTCCCAACAGGAGAATCTCAACACCACCTAAGGTCACTGCAATGTATATCTGGACCATGCAGAATGTGAAAGAAATGGCTCCATCTCCAGTCAGGAGATGAGTCAACATGAGAGGCATGGTGGTTGTTACGTAACACATATCTACCCATGCAAGATGTGAGAGAAAATAATACATAGGTGTGTGCAGGTTTGAATTAACCTTCACCAATATGATGATCAATATGTTCCCCAAAACTGTAAGCAAGTAGATGATGAGAATGATCCCAAAGAGAAGAAGTTGGGTTTTTCTGTGGCTGGTGAGTCCCAGCAAGATGAATTCCTTGACAGAGGTGAAGTTCTTAGCTTCTGTCATGGCTTCCTTTCTGAGGAGAAGGAAAAGGAATGAGATAACTTTAGATCGACTCCCATTGTTAAATATGTAAATATAGAAAAACCCGATGTTGGCAACTAATCATTCCAGAAAAAGATACTTCTCAACATTGGAAGATAAGTGGGCTTTGATGCAGGGAACATATAAAGTACTATCAGGCAGAAAAACATATCCCTGGTTTTCTATTTTCCTATGAAATTTCCTTTATTTGAAACAAGAGAATTTGCTTTAAGTATCAGTTTAAAGAGGGAAAATCTTAAAAAAAAACCTATGTAAGTTGAAATCTGGATTCGTGTTTTTTTCAATATGTACCTATTTTGAGGGTTTTTAAATTATTATTCTCAGTTGATAGAATGTACTTTTACATTCATTATCATATAAATATTTAACCTTATAGTAACTTTTTTTTTCAGTTACTGAAGTCCTGGCAAAGAAATAAAGGGAATAAAACAGCAACAATTGAAATAGCTTTGGTTAATTATCTATTTTTGACAATTGACTTACAGTAGACTATATGAACCTTTGCACTACTAATAATTTATTCACTGACTTCTTCTGCAGCAATGCAAAGTAAAAATATGGAGTTATTGGTTGGAACCAGGTAATTGTTCAGAAATTGTCCCGACTTCAGAAACTGCAAACATTTTTCCATGCTGGAAAATATACATAACACAATTCTATTATTGGTTTGCTATTCATAGGTGGGAATTAAAATTAAGAATTATAGTTTGGACTTTCCTAAAGCGTTCTAGTTCAAGATAGCTTCAATAGTAATCTCAAATATTTTCAATAGCAGGTTAAGAAGAAATATATCTTAAAAGAAATGTTCCTTTGTAGTCTTTCCAAAGGTAATAAAATAAAACACATATATTGCATCACCAGCCCTTTTTTTAAAAAAATATTCACATTAGGAAATAATTTAAACATGCTCATGTTAAGCTTTATTTGATCTAGTAGTTCAGATTATTTTTTCCTGGAAAAAAGGGTTTATCTCAAATGGCTTTCGTTGTGAGAATGTACAGAAATTTCCATTCAGTGAAAAAACCTTCTAAAAATAAACATAGTAATTTTTTATTTATTTATTTATTTTGTCAAGCATGCATTTGATAATATATATAAGTAAAATCATGATTATTAACACATGAAATAGATACGAATAAAAGGGAACAGTAGGACAGGGACAGTAGGCACATTGGTGCACTTATGCACGCCCCTTACAGACCTCTTAGGAATGGGGTGATGTCAACAGCAGACAGTCTGAGATTATAAGTGCTTGGTGTAAAAATTGTGTAAAGTGTAAAAATTCTCAAATTGCTTTAACAATGTCTATTTTGAATTTGAATAAAGAAGTTAGAACATACCCGTATAAAACTTAAGCTGGTGTACTAACACAGAATAGTTTCCAAGGGGAACAAAGATGATCTCAGCAGGTTCAGGATCTGGCTAATCTTCTTTGGACTAGGAAGCAAAGCAAAGTTGGGCATGGTTAGGACTTGGACCAGAGATTTCCAAAGATGCAAATTAGCTTTGTTTCTTCAATGGCAAAAGAGATCTTTCCCTTTCTTCTTTTCGAAGATGTTGCTCATCTGTCAAGAGCCAAGCATATTACCAGCTTTTACTACATTAAGTATATAGCAAGGTGGAAGGTAATAAATTTGCTTTCTGTGAAAGCCAGATATTGTGCTGTATTCAAAAGGTTGTGGGTCTCTCATGGAAACTGTCACAGAAGATATCTTAGTGAAGATATTAAAGAATTCTATTTATGGGAACTCAACTTATATACTCAGAAAAAGTATATAAATTCACATGGAAAAGTTATATATTCCCTGAAGATGTCTTGTAATTATTTATAATTTAGGAGCATGTTCACATCACTAAGGGATTCTGAATATTATCATTGGGAATACAGAAGTTTCTTGGCTTTTCTTTCTCCTCAAAATTTCTGTTGAAAGAAATTTTGTTCATCGTGATTCTGATGAAATTGTTCTAGTCCCTTTTCTCATTTCTAATAAATTGTTTGTGCTTTGTTGCTCTTCACCTTGACCTCTTGGGTATCTCAATAACTTCAATGAAGGGACATCGTTATTTGAATATATCAACAGAACTTATAATAATGAACACCCAACACTTTTTAAAAGACTTCTTAACTAATTTAATTAAAGATTAAAATAACTTCTTACATTCAAAAGTGATTGTATAGAGAAAGTGATCATTAAAATAAATTTCCCAGGAGAAAGCAATGGCAAAGTATTTCTGTATTTTTCCTAAGAAGTATGATTGTCAGCCCTGCAGCCATTTTCCTTGGCATCTTCAGGGCTGCCACAGCAGTGTCTGGGCGAACTGTGGGAACAAGAGTGGGGAGGTAGAGATAGCGAGGGCTTTGTAAAATTATTTCCTCTGAGAACCAAGGATGTTCCCACCAGGTGTGAAGAGGCAGTATGTGAAATCCGGATGAACTTGGGACTGTGACCTGCTTGGGCCATGTGATGGTCTGAAGGGGCAGGAGGAGGGGAGAAATGTAATTTTTACAAGGGGGAAAACTCAAGGGCCTTTTAGAGTCAGGTTTCTCTTGATGTGCCAATATGACATGCCAAATAAATATGTACTTTGAGGAATATGCCTGCCTCAGAGTATTATCACAATCACAAAAAGATTTATATTCCCAGAACTTCTAATATTGAAAAATGATTTTAAAGACGGTGAGATTATTAAAAAAAAGTTCCAGGAAAAGGCGTTTGCAAACCATTTTGATGTTTTTCCTAAAAAATACGTCACGGAGCTGTCTCCAAGTCTTGAATTCAACTTAGATATGTTTTTCAAAGTCTGTGTGTGCCCCCATGTTTATTATAAAAAGTACATAGGCTCACAGCATTGGAAGATACCTCAAAGGTCATCTAGTTCAACCCGCTGCTTAAGTGAGCAGCTTTACATCATCCTGTTCAAGTGGCTCTCTTATTCCATGGCTCTCCACTGACAAAAATTTTGTCCTTATTTCAAGGTTGGTTCTCTCTCTATTACATCTTCTCTTTCTCTTTGATGCCCTAGAAAATAAGTCAATCTCTTCTTCTTTGTGACAACTCCTCAATTACAGTTATCATGTCCTCACTAATTCTTCTCTTTGACAGGCTAGTCAAACCAAGCTCCTTCTATTGTTCATCATACAATTTAACTCCTGACCCTATATCATCTCTGCTGTTCTTCTCTATACACATCTGTTTTTGTTCCATCGTAGAGTGTGATACTAGTTTGTCTCGTCATGGTGCACCCTGGATAGCATGGTAGTGTGAACCAAACTATTAGTAACAATTGGCAGCCAGACTACATTGAAGAATTGGCAGTTAATGACAGTTGGGAGGTAGACATCTCTGTAGAACTCCTGGCTGTCTAAATATATGGCAACGGATAAACAATGGATAAACAACAGGTTTTTTCAGGCGGAAAGGACAAGACAGATTGGGGACATTGTCGTGTGGTCTTGTCTCTACCCCTCAGTGTGATTGTGGTGCTCCTTGACAAAATATTAATCACATTGTGTCCAAATGTCCATCAAGAGCTTACACTGGCCCAGTATCTGATTTTTCCAGTGTAGACCATCCTGTCCTTGGAAGGCTGGGTGGACTGGATGTTGACATTTAAACTACTGTTGGTCCATATATTTGCCATACACTAAATAATAATAATTTTGTTGTGTACTAAGGCTTCATTCAGGTTGGTTGTTTAAGTGGAAAGAGACATTCACTCTGATTGGCTGCCCATCTGACAGCTGACTATAAAAGGAGCACTGTCAGACAGAGTCAGCTGGTTTTGTTAGCAAGCTGTCACTGTTAGCTGAGCTGTTAGAACTAATAAATGTTAGCTAAATGTTACTTTGCTTCATCTCCATTCTTCCACCCTCCAACTCAATGCTGGCAATTGCTGTGTTCACAGACTGATGGCAGTCCTCACTCCGGTCCGCCGCCCGCGCGGGAGCGCCGATCGCTCCCATTGGTTGATGCCGTTTGACAGCCGGCTATAAAAGGAGCTGTCAAACGGCATCAGCTGTTGCCACCAGCTGACTGCCAGTTAGCCTTGGCAGCCGCGGCAACCCTTTATTCACTTGAATAAAGCCTGTTAAACGTAGCCTATGTCCGTCTCAATCTCTACCGCTGCTCTACAACACTGGCGACGAGGGCGGGATTTGATAAGAGACAACCAGGCGAAGACAGCTGAGCACAGTCACTGTCAAAAAGAGCCGAAGCCACTAAGAGCTGCATAACATCACCGCCGCTGATGCTCTCCACAAGCGCGAAGTTCAAACTCCCCAGCTGAGGAGTCAGACGCCGCCTGACAGGCGCAGCCACAAGTGCTTTTCTAAAAGCGCGAATTTAAAGCTCCCTCAAGCTGAGGAGACCAACGCTGCCGCTGCAAGATGGGTTCAAACCCGACATTCCCTCCATTCCAACTGACGGGCGAGACGTGGGAGTCGTATATGAACCGGTTCGAGTGCTTCCTAAATGCGATTGACCTGACAGAAGCTACTGACCTGAGGAAAAGATCCTATTTCCTGAGCTTCTGTGGAGCTGCTGTTTTTGATACAGCCTCCGCACTAGTATCCCCACGTTCTGTGAAGGCTATTCCCTGGGAGGAGTTGCAGGGAATCCTGTCTAATCACTATTCCCCCAAACCCTCTCAGATAGCTAGGAGACTGGCTTTTAGAAGGAGAGTTCAGGCAGAGGGGGAAACCGTTAGTCAGTATATGGCAGCCTTAAGATCAGCTGCCATACACTGTGGTTTTAGAGATTACCTGGAAGACATGCTGCTTGACCAAATTGTAGGAGGGGTTAGAGACCTAAAGCTACAGAGGCGTTTGCTAGCAAAAAAGGACTTAACCCTAGCCTTAGCTATAGAAGAAGCTCAGGCTGCTGAGCTGTCTGAGCTGTCAGCAGCTGAGATTCAAGGGAACCCCATAAAGCAAGGAAGCTCTACCATTCACTTCGATGAGG